GCGTGTTGCCAGGCGGCAGAAAGTATATATATAATTATAATAAAGTTACAATAAATTAAGTTAATATATAATTATATATAGAGTACCTAATTTATATATAATTAATATATAATTATATGTACAGTACCTAATTTATATATAATACTGTACAGACGATAGCAAACTCTCCGTAGCTTGGCACTTGACAGCGGAAAATAGTACTGCTGCCCGATGACGTTTTACGTAATTATAGAAGTTTTTTTACCTTTTTTTTACAGATACCGTCGCAATTTTTTCGCAGTTTTATAGGAATCGTAATTATAGGGACCGTAATTATAGGGGGTCTAATGCACACACATTTTTCAGGTAATTTCATCAAGGCCAAACTGAATAAAATCGGTGGATAGAATTAGCACCCTTAAAGTATATTAGGGCTCTTAGGGCATGTGTTACCCTTTGTCCTCGGGATGCCCTTTTCTTAATTCCCAAGGGAGTTTTAAAAGTTTATTTTATTTTAAAACTAGTTACTTATTTTTATTACAGAAAACTTTTTTAATGATGATAAAATAAAAATATTTCTATTAACCGAAGATTATTTTAGCTGATCGTGATTCTTTGATCGAATACCGAGTTACCATTGTATTTGACGCGATTTTATAATACGCGGTATCATCGAGAAATTAAGGATTACCTTGAAGAACTCTGCTTCTGCTGTACTATTTTAGATGCGGTTTTTTTGCGTTTTTTCAGAAAATCGAACGTATCTTTAGACCATCTAAAAATTCTTTAATTAGTCTCGGAAGAGGGAGATCTAATTCTTGCGCCGGTGAAAACGGGTAAGATCGGCTATAATCTAATAATCTTAATCTTCACTATCATTATTTTTGCCCGAGCAACGCCAGGCTTATCTGCTAGTATTTTAATAAATTATATTAGAGAAAAGATTTGAATTTTTCATTACGCATTTGTTATACTGTATTGGCAGTCTGAAAACGGAGTATTTCATTATGAGTTTTAATGTGCATTACAGTCGACCCCCTATAACACTGTTGATTATTCCGTTTTATATGAATTCCATATTGTACGAGTCACTTAGATTTTACAAATATGTGTGCCGGGCTATGAACGGCCCACGTATTTGATTCAATCCCGAGAAAATTATAAAACTCTGACTTCAAGGATAATATACGATAATTTAAATATATGAAGAAAATATAAGTTTTTTCGTATAAGTCTATTAACCAATTTTGTGGAATAAACTCAAATTATAAAAAATCAAATGCGAAGAAATCTCCACTTTTCTAAGATATGTGGTTATTCGGATATATCCGTGATCATAGATTTTTTAAATCCATAATTAATTGATTCTGCTTTTATTTTTGACACTTACATCATGTAGGCATTAAGAGGAGTTTTAACATCCATCATGGGCTCGAACTAGCCCATGACGGGAACAATCGGTTGATGACTGTTGCGACTTGACATCCTGTACAGATCGTCCATGAAAAATTCCTTCAGTTTTACGACTTGTCAATATCATACTAGGCCTCCCATTGCGGTAAATTGACGTGTAAGAGGACTCCTCCATCCTACTCTATAAGTAATCAATGAATTTGGAAATTTTTCAAATATTTTATAAAGAAGCCAGGATTGTATCATTTGTATACCTTCTTTACGATTTTCTCTTAAACAATCTTTGAAAAGTTTAGGATTTTTTTCCATGTTATGTTTATACGACCTTATGAACAACATGAATGTCTGAATTTAATTTAGACGAAAAATTTAGAATTGGAAGTCGTGCACCTACTTCTCACAGCACGGAACAGGTTTAAAGAAAAAAAAGCTAGGTACACTAAAAACTTTGGTACATCTGTTGTAAAATCATTTGAAATAGATGCAGCAATCGTACAAAACCGCCTTTCTGCAGCAGGTCTTGCAAGAATCTTAAGATATGTAAGGACGCCGATTGGAGGGAGAGTTTTTATTCCCTACCGTCGGGACGGTCTAATGCAGGCATGGCCAACATACG